GTACAATATATTTTAAATTTTGAACAATATTATATTATTTTGTTGTCATGGAGATACTCGTTTGGTTGTGTATCCATACGTTCGATTACACATTTTGAATCAGTTTAAAATATATTTCGTCACGAACATTAACTTCGTCGACTAAAATAATAATTTTCCTACAACATTAATATAATATACAATAAGCAGTTTATGATTTTCATTATATATATTATTGTTTAATAATTTTTCGTAACCTCGCGTTAGGTCCAAAAACGCAAAAATCTAGTTTTAATCATAACAATTTCACAATGGCCGTTACAACTATCAAGAACATCACAGACGAACTAAATGCCATATTGGAAGAAAACCTTGAGGGGATACTGGCAAACGTCGAAAATGGCAATTACGAGTATTATGTTTATGGCGGCGATCACGTCATGGTGATACTAGTGGAGCCACTAGTATTTGTATTAGCCCGAATAACTTCGTCACTCTCTACCGGCGAGCCGCTGACCATTACCGAAATCACCGATGGCAACAACTTCGAAAATACCCCTGATCTGGTCGCACCGGTAGAGAATGACGTCATGTTAAAAGGCGAAGACAGCATCATGTCGGTCGAGGAGGACGCCGGAATTGAGCCGGCCGAGGAAATCGGAGAGCACAACAGTTGTGAGCCGGAACCGGCAGAAGCTGGAAAACGCCTTCCACCCAGACGAAACCGGTTGTCCACGGGGTGGAAAAGCGTGAAGCGCGTCTTCCGCTTCCTGTGCTGCTGCGGATGCCGCTCAGACTGACACTGTGGTATTGGGCCGAAGACGACGGACAGGATGACGGCGACGAAAAGGAGGGGAGTGGATACGAGAAAGAGCACACTTTGCAAATCAGCACCGAATCGCCATCTCGTATCCCCCCCTCCTGGTTTATTGTGTCTCCTGTCCGTCGTAGTTTTTTTTTCTTTATCTATTTTGTAATTATTACAATTTATTACTATTGTTATTTATTAGGAGTCAAGGCGAAGCGATGTGGGGTCGAGGTAATAGGTACGTGAGAGTGCACTTTTGGGGTGATCGGCGGTAAGTCACCAACACATACGTTTTGCGGCCACCGGCGGTAGGGATCGCAGGATCGAGGTCGCCGACACTCGAGACCCTCTGGAGTTGTGGCGGGCCCTGACTGCTTCGGTCCGAGAGCGACGACAACGGCTCGACGACAGAGCTGGCTAGCTGTACGACGAAGGTACCCCTGACGATGACTGCTGCTGCACAAGACGACTCGCGATGGTGGAGACGGAAACCGCAGAGCACACGTCGGGAGAGTGACGGACGACTATAATTATTATACGGTGGCTAGGGAACCATATAATAATAATATATAGTCTTCGTTGCTTGATCCGACGAGCTTTGGTCGAAGTCTTCGCCGTCGCCATAGTCGTCTTCGGCACCTGCAGTACCGTCAAGCAGTGCACGTCATCGCGCACTAGCCAATCGTCGTCAAACCACCGTCGTTGCTCTCGCAGCCATCGTAGTCGGGTTCCTTCCACTTCCATGGTCGTCTTCGCGTCCTCGATCAAACGCGTTCGCGACCTACGTCCCCCCGCAGGACCATCCGCAAGAACTATGTAGAGGTGACCAGTTTATTGCCAATTATAACCCACTCGCCATCACGTACCCCCACCTCGCCTCGTCTTGACTGATGTCTTTTTTTTTTACATTTTTACATTTTTTCATTTTAATTTATTTTGCCACATTGAGCATATTTTTTGTTTATTAAAATTATTATTTCTTGTTTTTTTGCCACATTGCGCATCTTTTGTTAAAATTATTATTTCTATTTTTCCGCTACATTGAGCTTTTTTTTTCATTTGTAAATATTATGCTTATTATTATATTTCGGCATAAAAATGTTTCAAAATTATTGTAAAGCACTCATTAACTATATATCAAATAGGTATATCATATAATTTATAATATTATTGAATTATTTATTTATAATCATTTATCTCACACCTCTTGTGTTTTTTGTTTTTATTTTTCATAATTATAAACAGGGTGTTTAAAAATTATATTATTTTTATACTTGACATAATTTATTACTGTATTCAAATTATTATTATAATTTATATAATACGATTGTTATATTATTACAAATTATCCATTAATAAAATTATTATTTTTATACTGTAAAATGCTGTTTTTATATTTTGTACTAAACAGTAGGTATAATTTTATTTATTACAACAGAATAATGTTTGATGAACATTTTATGAATAATATTAACCAACAACTTTTTTGATACGTCGTACCAAACCTCAATAAATTATTATATTTAACGTTTTGGCCTCGTGAAAGTATAAGTGCAAAATATTGTCATGCATCTTTATATTTTTAATTGTTACATTTTTCACTTGTTACTTTGTATTTTTGAATACTAAATTCATTGCTACCCCTCCCCCTTTTTTTTTCGTTTGAACATTGAATATTAATATTTTATATTATCGAATTACCTATAGTATGAAATAAATGCATAATGTGATATTGGGAATGACCGCTAAAAAGTATATTTTCCGTTGTTTAATAAGATTGGTCAGAAAGAAATCAATACTATAACATTGGTCACATTTTACCTTAAAAATGGGTGCAATTATTTGTGGGTATTCAAAACACTTGGCAGAGGTAATACATTCTTATAACACTGGCTAAGTCGATTAAAGCCTGTAAAACCAGAACAAGTTTTTTGTTTGTTTATTTTTTTATTCTAGTTATTTAACCCCCAAATACCTAAACAAGCATAGAGTCAACGTTTCGGGGTATTTATTGATGAAAAACCTAAATTATTATCCCTTACCTACTGAAAAATATAAATATGTTGGACACAGACAAGCTGGGTTATAGTTAGAATTTGAATAATGTGTTATCCCAGAAATGTTTAAAAATAATAAAAAAACTGTAACATTAATTTTAAATAAATAAAATAAGTAAGTTTGGTTCGTATTAATAAATGCTTTGTAACACGAATATAGAAACTTTATAATAAAACTTCTGTGAAATGTTGTTCAAAAATATATTACACACATTATTGATTTGGGTCCAGACGTTCAGTAGCTATAAACATATACAATATACAATTATATAATATCTTTATTTTACTTACTAACGCTCGGCGAGCACCCGACCGCAGTTATGGTCACGCGGAGCGACGGAAGACGGCGACGGCACGGCGGCTAGTAGACGTACCTGCGAGAGAAACGATTCCGCCTCGAATTTACACCGACTTGGTACGATGGCGATGGTGACTCGGTACGACGGCACCGGCGGAGACCTCGGCACGGGGTGAGTGGTACGGATATTTGCGTGCTAGGAACACGGGGAAAACGCCAGGGCGAAAATTACCGACAGCCAATTACTTCACTGTGGTCCGCTGACTCTCTCCTATTCGCCCCGCGGTAATCCCACATCGGCGGCTTCGCTCGTCCACACCGGTTCCGCAGCACTGCAGAATCTCACTTCGCTCGTTCCGCGTCTTGGTCTTCGCCGTCCGTTGGCTTTATCGTCAAGCCGTCGACCGTCGATACGCGCACGACATCGAGCACTAGCCGGCTGGGCAAGGTCGTCAAGCGTTCGAGCGAACACGTCAGCGACACTCGTCAACCCGCGGGACAGGTCGGAGAACGTGCAGATGTGGACAGTGGCTAGCAAAACTGCATTTTCGCACCAATCGCCATCTCGCATCCTCACCCCTTGTTTATTGTGTCAATCCTGTCCGTAATATTTTTTTTTTTAAATTTAAGTTATTTCAAATTCCAAATTGTTAAATTGTTCACTTTTTTTCAGCCCTTTTCTTATAATAAACATATTTTGATGTGAACAAAAAAATATTAGTTCATTTTAAGATAGCTGGCTAATTTAAAAAGGGTTAAATTTGTTTTTTTTAATTTATCAGATTTTAGTACAGTTGGGTTAGGATTTTGTATTCATTGATTATATTAATCCGCCGTAGGTGGAATTAAGTAAAAACGATAAACTTAGTATAACTTTGGTCTTTGATACTCTAGAGTTAAATCATACACTTACTAACAAACAGCACAGGGTCCGTGATCTACCGCAGGTAGATTGCCTACCTGATAATATACTGCTGCGAACCAGAATTTTTATTCGGGGCAACGAAAAAGTTAAGAGAAGTTTTGAACACCTTACACCCAATATTAAATAACGAATTGAACAAAGTATGAGTCATAAAGAGTTGGTACATTTAACGGGCAACGGAGTGCACTGGATCAGCTAGTAAATTATAATTTACAAGCTTTTTTCCTCGCTAAATAATCATCGATTTTTTTTAATGTGATTTATGTAGTGTTATAGCCTATAATTAAAAAGTAATGGACAAATCTGAGGCCCCTAAATAAATACTTGTAGTTACAAATTCTCGAAAGACTAACTATAAGAGACGATGTCAGCGCAATTTGTGTTTTCTCTCTCAGACGCACGCGCAATATAGATAAAACGCGTACAACTCACAAAAAAAAAGGAATTTTGATTTGCCAAAACTTATTCGATAAATCGGTAACTCCTATTGAAGTACCTACTTAATTTTATAAAAAAAAGCAATTCAGTTTTTCCAAACTCAGCCGCGGCTCTTAGAATAAATATGTTAGCTATTCTAATAACTTCAGCTAGCGCAGAAGTTAGAACTTATAGAAACTTATTTGAGAAGTATCACGTCCCAAGAGTTTCTTCCTGGCTTGGCTTTATAAAAAGAGCCCGAGAACATTTAAATTATGAAAAAATCAATGAAGATTATTCTTCAAATATATTATAAATATACACATAGTAAAATTATAATATTAAATGTCAGTCCCGTGGCACACTCCGATAGCGACAGTCGTGTAAGTTAAAGTTCAGTGCGTTATCTACATCACAACGTTGTCATACGGTTTCACCACAAATAAATCTAACATGTACGGACCAAAGGTAAGAATTTAATTATAACGCTAATTAATTTCATTACCACCGTACAAAATGAGTTATACTCATCACCGTACACCTCCCCCTAACCGAGGATCCCCTACGTCACCCAAACCCCCCTCCTCACCTAATAGTTCAATTTCTACCAAACAACCAAGCACCTCCTCAAAAATTCCACAACCAAACGAAAATGCAGCACACAAATCTAAGACCTCAACCAATACGATGAACAATAATATAACATCATCCAGCCAACAGAAACAACAGCCTCAACCTACACCTACCGTCTTCAACAACAACCCTACAACAACATTCGCTGAGAAATTGGGCAATGGCCTGTTCCCTAAAAAGGAACAAGCAATTGTATTCGACGCAGTAGATGAAATATCGCAAATTGAATATATAAAAAAGATAGGTGACATAGTTAAACCCATAAATATAATATCGGTTTCAAAAATCTCAAAAAAAAGATTCTGCATCTTCTTAAATTCCAAAGAACTAGTAACCGAACTAATATCAAAACACAAGACAATTGAAATACAAAATAAATTAATTCATATTCGCCACTTATATAACCCAGATAAGCGATTCATACTAGCAAATGTATACAATAATATTCCTAACAGTACTATTTTGGAAGCTCTACGTTACCATGATATTATTCCCACTAGCCCCATCACCTGCCTCAGAGCAGGTATACAACTAGAAGGATACTCCCATATACTCAGCTTTAGAAGACAATTATTCATTAAAGCAGAAGATTTGCCCAAAATGCCTAGCTCCATATTTATAAATTATGACGGAACAAACCACCGTATATTTATCTCTGATGACCAAGTAACTTGTTTTAATTGTAAAATGACTGGTCATGTAGCATCAAAATGCCCGCATAACATAGAATCACAGAATTATAATATTGAAAATAATATTGAAGATATCAACGAGCCAGCAGTTGACCTCATTACTGACAATTGGGCAGATAACACAGATAATACAGAACCAATTACACCCATGGAAAATATTGGAAATAATGACCTAATTAATATTGACAATTCAGCTATGGACATTGACCTAACTGGGGCAACAACAGATAACGGGGGTATTAAAAGAGCAGCGTCGAGCTCAACTACTCCTAACGCCACACAAGAACCAATTAGTATAATTAATAAGATCGTCATAAAGCCAACAGTAAACGAAAAAAAACAAACTAGTACTACATCTACGGCGACGAAAATTCAAAAAGATCAAGTTATCAAAAAATCCAAAACACTAGTTAGGTCAAATTCAACAGAAAAACTTATCGACAATATAAAGCAATTTATTGAACCAGCCAGAAATATAATAAAAAATAATAAAGACATAAATATAGATTTCGACCAACTCAAGAACATAGTTATAAATGCACAAGGAAACGCAGACCCTAGCGATATTTGCAAACAATATGGAACTGATACCAAAACCGTGCTTAACACGATAGAGGTGGTCAGACCGGCAATTAAATCTCAAAGCCTGAAAAATAGATTGACTCGCTTATCAACCAAATTATTAGAAACAATGGATTTAGATAATCGCGAAACGACCGTCCTCGATACGGATAACCCTTCGTCACCCAATAATTACCTAACCAATTAATTAGGTAATTAATTATTTCACAACGTAAAACAATGTCTCACATACAAAATATATACCGAAACACATACGTAAATTACCTGTATTCCATACCCACATATAATACAATACTTAGCATGCATAATATAATATCAAATAATATAAATACGAATCATAATATACTACAGTGGAATATCAACGGATTCCATAAAAAAATTGATGACCTTAAAAGATTAATTCATAAATACTCGCCACTCGTAATCTGCCTACAAGAAACAAATTTCATCGAAAATCACACACCCGAACTTAAAGGCTACCTCGGATACTCAAAAAATCGCTCCATTAGAAGTAGAGCCAGCGGAGGCGCATCAATCTACGCAAACTCATCCTTTCCTTCCGAAGAAATTAAAATCACCTCCAACTTCGAAGTAACAGCAATAACTGTTCACATAAAAGAAAAAATAACTATTTGTAACATTTATCTTCCAAACCAACATGATTTCGAAATCGAAAATCTAGAAAATATAATTAATCAATTACCACGACCCTATATACTAACCGGTGATTTTAACAGTCATAACACTCTATGGGGAAGCACGCATATTGATAGTAGAGGAAAAAAAATAGAAAAAATGCTTGACCATAACTATATCACACTACTTAACGACGGAAGCCCTACGCACTTTAATACCGCCAATGGATCAGTATCGGCCATAGACCTATCCTTTTCATCCGCAAATATATCAACCAATTTGGATTGGACGGTGGAACAAGAATTATATAACAGTGACCACTGGCCTATTATCATAAAAATCCATAACAGAGACTCTACTTTAATATATAAAACCAAAGAGAAATGGAACTTAAAAAAACCTAATTGGGAATTATTTTCAAACACAATTCAATCTGAACTTGAAAAATGCCTCCCAATGGATGATAATAGCATAGACGAAATAGTTGATATATTTACAGAAATAATACATAACACTGGAATGAATATAATTAAAAAAAATAAATACAGCGGAACCAAAAAGCCCGTACCATGGTGGTCGGAAGAATGTAAAAACATAATTAAAATCAAAAACAAAGCCTTAAATAAATTTAGAAAAAGCAGAAGTATAATCGATCTAATTGAACTTAAAAAACAAAGAGCTAAAGCTAAATACATTATAAAAAATTGTAAAACAAACTCGTGGAACTCTTTTACGTCATCAATTACCTGCCTTGAAAATCCTAATATAGTGTGGAACAAAGTAAAATCAATAAAAGGAGTGCAAAAATCAACGGATATCAAATTACTCAGAACTAATAATAATAAATCCATTATTACAGAACCGTTAGAAATAGCAAACGCACTAGGTGAATACTTTCAGGAAATAAGCGACGATAACAACTTTGATCCAAATTTCATAAAGTACAAATCCGAAATCGAAAAACAAAATATAAACGTCAAGGAACTAACCACTGTTGAACATATTGATACACCAAACCTAAATTTGTCAATAACAAGAAAAGAACTCGACAACATTATTTATGAACATAAGAGCAACTGTTGTGGACCCGATGACATCCCCTTCATATTTATACAAAATTTACCCGAAATAGGAAAAATTACATTACTCAAAATATTTAATAAAATGTGGACACAACACAAGTTCCCAAAAAAATGGAAACAAGCTACCATTATCCCAATTCATAAACCTAACCAAAATAAATTCGCAGTACAAGGATACAGGCCTATATCGCTGCTATGCTCAATGAGTAAAATATTCGAAAAAATAGTCAGCGTTCGACTTAACTGGTTTCTAGAAAAAAATAAACTTCTCGCCAAAGAACAATTTGGATTTCGGAAAAACAGATCGACCTACGACTGCCTTGTAAACATTGATACAGAAATATGTGAAACAATTGCATGCAAACAATACATGGGACTGGTAAGCTTCGATATACAAAAAGCGTACGATATGACATGGAGATACCGAATTATTTCAATCTTACTAGACTGGGGCGTTAAAGGCAACATTTTATATTTCATACATAATTTCCTTATTGACCGAACATTCGAAGTTGCTGTTGATGGACATCATTCATCCTTATATAACCTGAATAACGGAATTGCCCAAGGCTCTTCCATAAGTGTAAAATTATTTATAATCGCAATAAATGACTTATCTAAACTTATACCCACCCCTGGAAAAATTACAATATATGCGGATGACAGCAATATTTTCTTTCGACACAAATGTATTGACACTTTAGGAAAAGAATTACAGAAATACACCAACTCGCTTAACGATTGGAGCAAAAATACAGGGTTCAAATTTGCACCAGAAAAATCCCAGTTCATAATATTTTCACACAAAAAAATTAAAAAAAAACCAATTTTAAAAATGGACAACAAAATAATTCCTTACACAAGACACTTAAAAATATTAGGTCTTACCTTCGATGAAAAACTTACCTGGACCACACACATAAAAAAGCTAAAAGACAAAGCCAAAAAAAGACTGAACATTATCAAAGTACTTTCAGGTACGAAATGGGGAGCAGACTCTAAAACCCTAATAAACATTTACAATTCACTGATCAGATCAATTTTGGATTACGGATCCCCCTTATATATGACATCGAGAAACTCAGCACTGACAATGCTTGACGTTATCCATAATGCTGGCCTAAGAATGGCATCTGGTGCATTTAGAAGTAGTCCCATAAACAGCATACTCAATATTACAGGAGAACAACCACTTAATAATCGGAGAAATCAACTGATGTTGCAATACGCAGTAAGAACAGCAACCGACCCGAACAAACCAACGTATTCCACAGTATTCAATAACAGATTCGAAAATACCTTTAACAACAACAACAAATTAATACAACCTATGTACAAAAGAATAAAAGAAAAAGAGGGAGAACTAAAATTAGAAATAAGTAATATATTGACTAGAGAAATACTCGTAAAACCTCCATGGACAACGACAAAGTACTCGTTTGACATGTCGATAGCAATTTACAACAAAAAAGAAACCACAAATCTTACATACAAAAATGCATTCTATGAATTAATAAACACATTACCAGACTACATACATATATATACCGACGCCTCAAAAACAGACAAAGGGGTGGGTGTTGCTGCAGTTTTTCTACAAACCGAACTTTCTGAAAGGTTGTCGGATAATTGTAGCATATATACAGCTGAGGCACTAGCTATATATAAAGCACTATCCTATATAATAAGTGCCAACCTGCATAATAATAAGTACATAATTTTGACAGACTCCATGAGCACTCTAGCTAGTCTTAGTAATATCAATAACAATAATGTTATAACTAATAAAATAATTAACTTGACTAATAAATTTAACGATAACTTAATCTTCGCATGGATTCCCGGGCACTGCGGAATACCTGGTAATGAAAGAGCCGACTTACTTGCCAAGGAAAAAGCCAATAACCCACATCAACTAACTGTGTGGAATATTAAATCCGACAAAGATACTAAAAAAATTATATACAACCAAATCAAAAATATCTGGCAAAAAGAATGGCTTAAAATGAATAGTAAATTAAATGAGATAAAAAGAACTATCGAAAAATGGAATAACCCTATGTCGCTCAAAAGAAGAGAGGAAGTCGTACTAAATCGCCTCAGAATAGGCCATACGCATCACACACATGGCCACCTCATGAAAAAGGAGCCACCAAAAATATGCCTTACATGCGGAATTACAACTACAATCAAACATATTATCACCGAATGCAGAGACACAAAAGAGGCACGACAAAAATTCAACATACCGGAACACCTTCACGACGCACTGGGCCCTGACGAAAAATCCATCCAAAACATAATTTTATTTTTGAAAGATACCGAACTGTACAATTTAATTTAAGTCATCATTTGATGTAAAAATAAGCCAATGGTCACGTTATCGAGGCTTTTCTCTTAATAAAAAAAAAAAAAAATATTAAATGTATTAACTTTACAGATAAATTCGGAGCAGCAACTTAGAACAGCATATTATTATACCTACTGCGACGAGTTAGGAATATGGTTAAGACTATTTTTCGGGTAGCAATTCGTACCACCACATGACATCGAAAATGCATTCGTTAAACTTGTATCTATATATCCGAATATAGATTATAGGATGGTTATTTTCTTATTACCTATATATTGCATACCTACTTATACGTAGATAAGTATAAGTATATATTTTTATTTCCACCAAAAATTTTGGGCTCAAGAGCTCTGAAAATCCTCGGTAATACTATAACTAGGGTTCGGATTTATATGTAAATACATATATATTCTCTGCGACATGATAAACTAATTTCGGCAAGTGATAAATTCGTTTCACAAGATTTTGATAAAATTAGCTATATTCGATTTTACATATTTCGTCATAAATACATGTTTTTACATATATGTATTTACACAATTATTATTCTATTTATTCACATATTTATACAATTTTAATGTCTTTTCTTCAGAGTTCAGGTCCACTGGACGTATTTTTGACTTGGCTAAATAAGGGTTCATCGGTGACAAACGACCGTCGAACTCAACCTGTTATATTTTCAATTATTTCTACATACGATTTTATTCATTGAAATATCAGATATATTATCGTAATATATTACGATTAACACATTTTTAAACACGTAGGACACGAACGAGCGATCACTGCAATGAGTGTGTAGTTTTTAATGTGACATCGTAGTGTGAGTTTTGTGGCCTCGTTTTTCGTTATATTTTACATGTTTATTACCAATAGGTTATGCCAAAAGTACGATCGTCTAAGACTTAAAATAAAATAAAAGCAATAAAATATGTTTCTGAATATCCAAATGAACATTTACAAAGTGAAGGCCACGTTTTGTATTGTACCTACTGCTTGTAAAAAATCGATAGCAATTGATTTTTTTTGATAATACCTACATATTTTTAATTCTTTAGCACATATTTTTGTTGTATATAAATACATACCTACTTTGGTTATATACATAGATATAAA